CCACTCCTCAGAAACCCTATACAGGATCACTGTGGGTGGGAACCAACTTGATAGCACTTAACAACAACAACATAATGTCAAGTGGGACCTACTTTTAATAACATTAGGTTCTAATAGTGGTTATAGTTTATAATTGAATCAGATGAGATCTGATCTTTTGTGAACCACACAGGTTTCTGTTGCATTTTTTCTTCTTCTCACTTTGCTTAACTAAGAGTACCTTTAAAACTGGTCATCCTGAGGTTTAGAAGCAATTTTTTTTTAAACAAAATACAAATGCTCATATTGTTGTTGTTGTTATGTGTAGTCAAGTTGGAGCAGAAAGCCTCATCTTCCTCACGTGGGGTGGCTGATGGGCTCAAACCCCAACCTTATGGTCCGCAATCCAGTACTTATCATCTAGAGACAGCATACTCCGTAAAATAAAAATAGTCATTATTTAGAAAAGTTAATATTCAATAGGCTCTATCAAAACAGTATATCACTTTTATCTTTATTGCCTTGTTGTTGTTGTTAAGTGCCATCGAGTCAGCACCGACCCATAGTGACCTTATGCATAGCAGAACAAAACACTGCCCAATCCTGGGCCAACCTCACTATCATTGCCACACTTGAGCCCATTGCTGGTGCCACTTTGCCAATCCATCTTGCTGGGGTCTTCCTCTTTTTCTCTGACCCCTACCCTACCAAACATGGTATCGTTCTCCAGCAAGTGGTCCCTCCTGACAATATGTCTGAAGTATGAGAGACAAAGTTTGGCCATGCTGACTGACCTCCAAGGAGCACTCTAGCTGCACTTCTTCCAAAATGGATCTATTGGTTCTTTTACCAGCCCATGGTACTTTCAATATTCTCCTCCAATACCATAACTCAAAGGCATCAATTCTTCTACAGTCTTCCTTATTCACTGTCCAGCTTTCGCATGCATATGAGGTGATTGAAAATACCATGGCTTGGGTCAGGCACACCTTAGTCCTTAAGCTGACATTTTTGCTCTTCAATGCTTTAAAAAGGTCTTGTGCAGCAGATTTGCCTAATGCAGTAAGTACATCGTTTAATTTCTTAACTGCTGCTTCCATGACTGTTGATAGTTGAATCAAGAAGAATGAAGTACTTGACAACTTCAATCTTTTCCCTGTTGATAAGAATGTTGTTTATTGGTCCAGTGGTGAGGAATTTTGTTTGCTTTACATTGAGATGTAATCCATACCGAAGACTGTGCTCTTGGATCTTCAACAGTAAATGTTTTAAGTCCTCTTCACTTTCAGCAAACAAGGTTGTATCATCTGCATATCGCAAGTTGTTAATGAGTCTTCCTTTAATCCTGATGCCACGTTTTTCTTCATAGAATCCAACTTCTCGGATTATTTGCTCAGCATACAGGTTGAATAAATATGGTGAAAGAATAAAACCTTGTCACACACCTTTTTTCATTTTAAACCATTCAGTGTTCCCATGTTTTGTTGAACAACTTAATTGTACTTATGA